CCGGGGAGATAGGGTGGAATATAAATAAAGTATTATTATTTGAAACACAACAAGATTAGTACACAGCAAACAAGATCACTGTGCTGCCTGTTGTATTGCATCACACGTTGGACACTTCCCAAATGTCTAGGACTGTGTGATGTTTCGGCAAATAATGCGTGCAGATCCGAGTAGGATAGCCTTTTTGCAGCTGACAGATGATGATTTTTGTCAGTGCTGACTGTATTTAAGTGCAGGCCAAGATCTTTAGGCACTGCACCCAGTGTGCTGATCACCACTGGGACCACCTTTACAGGCTTGTGCCAGAGTCTTTGCAGTTCGATTTTTAAATCCTCATATCGTGTCAGCTTTTTTAGTTGTTTCTCTTAATGTCTAGGACTGTGTGATGTATTACTACTACTACTACTACTATTACTACTACTATTATGGCTGCAGTTTGTTCTATTTAGTCAAGATAGTGGGGTTTGAATTTGGATTCAAGGCTTGTGGATATGAAGCCTGACTTTAATATGTCCTTTAACCTTTCCCCAACCTCAAAGCCACAAGAGTGGTTGGATTGCAATTCCCATTATCCCCAGTCTACATGGTAGATAAACAAAAGTGATGGAGGTTGCTGTTCACTAACCTTTGGGGACCCAAATTGGGTAAAAACTAAAAACCACCAACCGCTATGTAAAAAAAACCCAAAAAAAACCCACAGTTGGCTCTCTGTATCCATGGATTCAGTGGCCTTTTCAAGGCAACCATGAGGCTCAATGAAAATGGGTTTGATCTCCTTAATTGATTCAGTAGGACTAAGTGATTACAGGACCAATGTAGTTCTTTTCTTATTAAGAAGAATAATGGGACATCCCTGAGTCTTGAAGATCTGGGTATGATCTTATGGAGGTTTAGACACACCTGACTCCACCATCTTCCAAGTAAGTGTGGCTTGAAAGTGATGAAAATGAGTGAGCTGTGGTCTTAAATATTTGCAGGACCAATGCCTTGAGTATCAAGGAAAACTAATTTCAGTGATTCTGCTGCTGTGGTATTTGAACATTAAAAGCTGAGAGACGGTGACTGTATCTAGTCCTATATTATGCAGAGTAAGTTGGATCTAGACACCTTAAAATCAAGTGTCTTAAGCACCATTAAGTCTGTTTAAGACCCAACTGTTCTCTGTTAGTTGCCTGTTTGGCTGGGAAGGACTTGATGTGCTTCAGGTGTTTGTGGAAAAACTTCCCCTTAAGAAAGATGGGAAGCCTCTTCTGATAGTTCTTTTCTGGGCTGTCTTTAGAGGAGGCAGCAACAGCATGGACCTTTGGTTTGGGGACAAGTACAGTAGGGGTGGAAAAGACTTAGCTTCCTAGAGCTTGTGTTGGGGGATTAAATATATATTCAAGGTGGAGATAAAACTGGTTATGAAAGGGTGTGGGAAATAGGTGAGGATTTCAGACAGGAGGCTCTTGGCATTTCGTTGAGGCTAGCTGCTTGTTGAAAAGGTATTCATTGACTGTCTTTTGCTTCCAGAAGAGGTCTGTACATTTCTATTCTCTTTGAAAATGTACCATCTGCTTTTTAATCCTTAAACTAGTTCTACCCTGTAGCTCCAATTGCCTATGCTTAATGAATTGTTCTGTGGGTAGCTGATACAAAGGATTTGCATTCTGTTAATTCTCAGCCTCAGAAGTAACGATAGTGGAGTAATACAAGGTGAGAACACTACTCTGAGTAGTGAAGAAGGTAGGCGTATATCCTGTAGTAAGTTTGTTATGAAGTAGTTACCTTGGTGATAGGCAACTATCAAAAATGATTTGGTAGTATTCACTGAATACCTTCCTAGGAGTTTTTCCTCTTGAATTTATTCAGAATTAATTCTGGATAAACATATGTGTACTTAAGCTTTTTAAAAAATCATGACTTATATATGTTGCACATAATAAGGAAAGTATGGAATGTTGCCTTGATTGTACAATCAAACTGCAAACTACCTTATTTTCAATTTATATTGTTATTTATTGATATTTTTATTACATACATTTTCTGTTGATATTTTTATGACATACTAGCTGTACCCACCACGTGTTGCTGTGACCAATTTTCCCTCCCTCTTTCTCTCCTTTCCCCACCCCCTTCCTTTCTCCCTCTTTCCTTCCTTCCTTCTCTTTCCTTCTTCCTTCCTTCTCTACCTTTTTTCTTCCTCCTTTCTTTTCCTTCCCTTTCTCTCCTTCTTCCTTCTCTCCTTTTCCTTCCTTCCTTCCTTCCTTCCTTCCTCCTTCCTTCCTTCCTTTTTGCTTCCATCCTTCCTCCTGTCTTTCCTTCCTTTCCTTTTTTCTTCTCTCCTTCCTTCCTTCTCTACTCCTTTCTTTCCTTCCCCCTTTCTTCCTCTTCCTCTTTCCTTCTCTACCTCTTTCCTTCCTTCCTTTACTTTTTGCTTCCATCCTTCCTTCTGTCTTTCCTTCTCTCCCTCTTTCTCTTTCTTTCTCTTTTTCCTTTGCTTCCTCTTTTGTTTCTTTCCTTCTCTCTCTCCTTCTTTCTCTACCCCTTTCTTTCCACCCCTTCTCTTTTCCTCTTTCTCTCTTTTCTTTTCTACCTCTTTCCTTCCTTCCTTCCTGTTCATGCTTCCTTCTCTATTTCTTTCTTTCTTTTCTCCCCTTCCTTCCCCTCCCTCTTCCCTTTTTTTCTGTATCATTATTTATTTGGGTTTTAAGTCCTTTCCACTGTTTTTTTTTTTGGGGGGGGGGGGTATGAGTGATGGTCACTCGTTGGTCTGTTAGGGGTGTCGTGTCCAAATTTCATGTCATTTCATCCAGTGGTTTTTGAGTTATGTTAATCCCACAAACGAACATTACATTTTAATTTATATAGATGAAGAAAATATGTATTTGTGCTTTCAAGTCATTGTATGAAGACGCCCTTGAATTCCATAGGGGTTTTCTTAGGCAAGGTATACTCAGAGGGTAGTTTTGTCAGCTCTGAATGAAGCCTATAGCACCTGCTAATTCATTGGCCTTCACCCATCTTCACAATGTAATTAAACAGCTGTGGTTGACTGAGCTATGCCTTGCAGAATAGGAAAAGGTGTTTGCTTGTGTGTCTGTATTGATGGTTGTGAAATAGCCATAGAGGATAGTGGTGGTTTAGACAATACTTCCTCAAAATCTCTTAGTAGAGACTCCCCTTAATCAACTGCTAAGCATATATATAATCTCTATTCTCTGAACAAAAAACAACTATTCTCTGAACAAAAAACTAGATATTTTTATTTGTTTCACAAGGCTGCCCAAAATTCTTAAAAGCCGCATAGAAATGCAAAGAGAGCTCTATCCCAAATCTCTTCAGCAGTTCTCCATTGACCAAATAAAGATAACACTTGCTGGGGATGTATGCCTCCACAGAAAACCTTTGGTTTGCATTAGCTGTCAAATAGTTTGGTGATAGTATGTGTTGTTTTTTTAAAGCAGCATTTCTCAACCTGGGGGTCACGAGGAGGTGTCAGAAGGGTCACCAAGATCACCGGAAAACACAGTATTTTCTTTATTGTTGAAGGCTTTCATGGCTGGAATCACTGGGTTATTGTAGGGTTTTTCGGGCTATATGGCCATGGTCTAGAGGCATTCTCTCCTGACGTTTTGCCTGCATCTATGGCAAGCAACCTCACTACCTCTGAGGATGCTTGCCATACATGCAGGCGAAACGTCAGAAGAGAATGCCTCTAGACCATGGCCATATAGCCTGAAAAACCCTACAACAACCCACAGTATTTTCTGTTGGTCATGGGGGTTCTGTGTGGGAAGTTTGGCCCAATGCCATCATTGGTAGGGTTCAGAGTGCTCTTTGATTAGGTTCTTGTGTAGGTTTTTTCGGGCTATATGGCCATGTTCTAGAGGCATTCTCTCCTGACGTTTCGCCTGCATCTAGGGCAAGCATCCTCAGAGGTAGTGAGGTCTGTTGGAAATATTGAAATCCACAAGAATGTGGACAATTTCAACAGAAAGGAAGAGACCATGAAAATGAACAAAATCTGGCTACCAGTATTAAAAAACTCTAAAATTATAACAGCTAAACAACAGAGAGGAAAAAACCAGGCACAGATTAACACCTCCCAGCAACAGATTTCCCAGACTTAGGCAGGCCTTCAAATGCTAATGAAGGTGATCAGCTAACATTCACACCTAACTGCAGCAGGGAAGAGCTCCTTGCCCCACCCCAGCCATTCCACAGATATATAAACCCATTTTTCCTACTTCCAACAGACCTCACACCTCTGAGGATGCTTGCCATAGATGCAGGCGAAAACGTCAGGAGAAATGCCTCTAGAACATGGCTCTATAGCCCGAAAAAACCCACAAGAACCTAGTGATTCCAGCCATGAAAGCCTTCGACAATGCTCTTTGATTGTAGGTGAACTATAGATCCCAGCAACCTCAACTCCCAGATGTCAAGGTCTATTTTCCTCAAACTTCACCAGTGTTCACATTTGGGCATATTGAGTATTCATGCCAAGTTTGGTCCAGATCTATCATTGTTTGGGTTCACAGTGCTCTCTGGGTGTAGGTGAGCTACAACTTCAAAACTCAAGGTCAATGCTCGCCAAACCTTTCCAGTATTTTCTGTTAGTCATGGGAGTTCTGTATGGCAAGTTTGGTTTGATTCCATAGTTGGCGGAGTGCTCTTTGATTGTCGGTAAACTATAAATCCTGGCAACTACAACTCCCAAATGGCAAAATCAATCCCCTCCCAACCCCACCAGTATTCAAATTTGGATGTATTGGGTATTTGTGCCAAAATTGGTCCAGTGAATGAAAATACATCCTGCAGACCAGATATTTACATTATGGTTCATAACAGTAGCAAAATTACAGTTATGAAGTAGCAATGAAAGTAATGTTATGTTTGGGGGTCATCACAACATGAGGAACTGTATTAAGGGGCCGTGGCATTAGGAAGGTTGAAAACCACTGTTTTAAAGGGACTTTTGCTCAATGTCAGTTGTTTCTGTTTTTGTGGCCTAGAAAATGAACACTCCTGCTGCCTCCGAAAGTGGGCCTTATTCCACAAACCAAAGACCCTTTTTTTATGCACATGCAACAGCACAACAGCGCTTCTCTAACCCATGGCTCCTTGGCCCTGTGTACAACCCATATGGCATTCCTACAGCAGGTAAGGCAAAACAATATATGGACATTGAGTATTTGTGGGTGAACTGCACACCTTGCAAGAAGATACCCTATTTGGGCTTTCTATTTATTTTCAAGATGAGTCTTATACCTAGAATTTCCCTTATTTATAATTGACAGTGCTTTACAAAATGTATTTTGTAGTTCTCTATGATTGCATGTTTACATGTGGCATTATAAGTTCTCCTGGAAGGGGTTTTTTTCCCCCTTAGCGGTTGTATGGTAGCAATTTCTCAATGAATTATGAATGATAAAGAGACAGAAATCTGATTTAAAGTGGATCCATGCTTTGGCGTGATGAGGCTGGAAGTGTCCCTCAGATATAGCTATGTTGTGCAAGGTGGTCTTCCAGGTATTCTGAGGCTACAACACCCATCATATCATACAATTGAGTAAAGTGGTTAGAACTGATAAGAATTGTAGTCTGCTACCTGTTGTTGTTGTTTTTTTTTTTGGAAAAATTAACCACAGCAATAGAATGTATATGTCAGCAGCAGTCTTTTGAATTGTGTTATTTTATTTATGTGATAGTAGTGGTTGTTTTAATAATTTTTATGTGATATTGTTTTATACTCATTGGAGTAACTTGTAAGCCACCCCAAGTCCCTTTTGGGAGATGGTGGTGGGATATAAATAAAGTTTATTATAATTAGTAGTAGTACAGACCACCTGCTGCAATGCAACCTGAGCCCTGCTACATGCACAATGAAGGAACTTATAGCAACACCAGAGGCACTCCAAGTGGCCAGCTACTGGTCAAAGGACATTTAATCAACTACCAAGCTTGCAAACTTTATGTTTTATTTGTTTGTTAAAAATGCATATAACTGTTTGGTTTGCTCCTGACACAATACATGAAATCCCTAGTAGTATTACTACTACTACTACTACGGATTTCATTTATCGTGTCAGGAGCAAACCAAACAGTTGTGTTGCATTTTTTAACAAACAAACAAAACAAAACACAAAGTTTGCAAGCTTGGTAGTTGATTAAATGCGCTTTGACCAGTATCTGGCCACTTAGAGTGCCTCTGGTGTTTCTGCAAGAAGGTCCTCCATTGCGCATGTAGCAGGGCTCAGTTTGCATTGCAGCAGATGGTCTGTAGTTTGCTCTTCTCCACACTCGCATGTCGTGGATTCCATTTTGTAGCCCCATTTCTTAAGATTGGCTCTGCATCTTGTGGTGCCAGAGCGCAGTCTATTCAGCACCTTTGAAGTCGCCCAGTTTTCTGTGTGCCAGGGGGGAGTCTCTCATTTGGTATCAGCCATTGATTGAGGTTCTGGGTTTGAGCCTGTCATTTTTGGACTCTCGCTTGCTGAGGCGTTCCAGCGAGTGTTTCTATAGATCTTAGAAATCTATTTCTTGATTTAAGTCTTTGACGTGCTGGTTGATACCCAAACAGGGGATGAGCTGAAGATGTCACTGCCTTGGTTCTTTCACTATTGGTTGCTACTTCCCGGTAGATGTCAGGTGGTGCAATACCGGCTAAACAGTGTAATTTCTCCAGTAGTGTAGGCCGCAGACACCCCGTGATAATTCGGCATGTCTCATTAAGAGCCACATCTACTGTTTTAGTGTGGTGAGATGTGTTCCACACTGGGCATGTGTACTCAGCAGCAGAGTAGCTAAGCGCAAGAGCAGATGTCTTCACTGTGTCTGGTTGTGATCCCCAGGTTGTGCCAGTCAGCTTTCGTATGATATTATTTCTAGCGCCCACTTTTTGCTTGATATTCAGGCAGTGCTTCTTGTAGGTGAGAGCATGGTCCAGAGTGACTCCCAGGTATTTGGGTGTGCTGCAATGCTCCAGTGGGATTCCTTCCCAGGTAATCCTCAGAGCTCAGGATGCTTGTCTGTTCTTAAGGTGAAAAGCACATGTCTGTGTTTTAGAATGGATTAGGGATCAGATGGTTTTCCCTGTTATAGGCAGTAAGAACACCTAGAGCTTCGGAGAGCTTCTGTTCAACCATCTCAAAGCTCCCTGCTTGAGTAGTAATGGCACGATTATCAGCATAGATGAAACTCTCTGTCCCTTCTGGCAATGGCTGGTCATTTGTGTAAACATTTGCAAAATTTACTACTAGGGATGATAGCACATTAGCATTACGAACCGAAGGTCCCCCGCTTTGCAGTCACCTGGCTTGCTCCTGAAGAATTCTGAGAAATGTAGTTTAGGGAAGCCAAGGATATCTCCAAAGGCCCTGTCCTAAACTACATTTCCCAGAATTCTACAGGAGTGAACTGGGCGATAGGGAATTGAGCGCCTGCACATTATAAAGTTAATGTATCGTCCTTGAATTGCAAGACCATAAAGTTGGTCATAGTGTCTCTGGCATTCTGTAGGAAGGAATGTTGCACTTATAAATTCTGGCTTGCGGGATTGTGTGTGCAAATAATTTGTTCAAGGTGACATGTACTATTGGGTTTCTCTGTTATAAAGCAATGGCTGTTCCATGGGGGCAGAGTCGGGAATTGTTCTATTGGGAGAAAAACATGTGTTTCTGTTCTTCACAGGCATAAGAAGCGGCAATCCGTATTTCCCATTATATTCTGTTCCTTTCCACGAGTATCCTGGATACATAGTCCCACAGCATCCCATGCATGTAAGAGTTAACAGAAGACCTTATTTTAACGGTCACCCACCCTCGCCCATGTTTTATCAGGCCACACGTTTCAGGCATTATGGCCCTGGAAAACGAACGGAGACCAAAGAAACACAGACTGATGTTAAGCAGACTGACAGTAAAGCAAGAAAACATCAGGACCACGGCATAGAAACAAAAGGTTGTGATGCTGGAAATATGGCCTGTGTCTCATCTGCTGCTGGAAAAGGAAGTGAAAGTTCTTTAGAAACACCAGAGATGATTGTGTCTTCTCCTGTTTCAGACAGAGACTTTGCCAAGAGCTCTTCAAGTTCTGTACAGTTTCGAAGCCTTCCTCCACCAGGTTACGCCTTTGAGAAAGAAGAAGTTAGAATAGAGTATGCCAATGATGGTGCACCTTCCATTCAACTATGGAAGTCTGTCAAAGAAACAATCCCTTTGTATGATGTGGCAAAGAAGGAGAATGTAGTGCAAAGAGATGTGTTTGCTCTGAGCTCTTGTGAAGAAGTCATGTATGGGTCTTCTGAACAGGGACAATTGGTGCCCAGTATTTCTTACCCAGAGGAGGAAAAGACTCTAGAAGATATGCAGGAAGAAGAGACTCAATACAAAGCAAAGCTGGATTCAGAAAAACAGGGATCTACAAGTTATAGAGTAAGCACTCCTGTAGATGATAGTGGAACAGTGCAACTGTCTGAATCAGCCAGACCTGACCAGCCACTAACAAAGCAAGATGTGCTAATGTCCAAACGATCCTCTGGTGTAAAGAGGTTGAGGAGTTCAAGAGCTCCTCCAGATGTGTCAAACCTTGTTCAACAAAGGGAGCTATTTCCATCTGGCATGGAAATAACAAAAGATTCCTATTTCCCAAAGAAACTGAATGAAAATGGTGATGTTACCAATAAAGATTGGGCAACTTCAGAATCAAGTATGTGGTGTAACGAGTCAGAAAAATACCTTCCTTCTGAGAGCTGGTTGGCTTGTTTGGATAATACAGATGCTAACTTAAACTATGAAAAATATATGTCCCGAAGAAAGCGCCCAAGTATACTCAGTGTTACTTCTGATGAGATGTCTTCCATTGAAGAAGAGTCATCCATTGACAATGGAACCATGCCTTATTTTGTCCCTGACTACATGCTTCAGAAGGGTATGTGTACCTTCAAGAAAAGCACAGAGGGCTTGGGAAGAGAGAGAATTAAAAGTGGGGGCTCCCTCAATGAAGATGAGGAAGTGGAAGGGCATGAGAAAGCCAATATTGGTTATAGCCAGAATGTGAAAAAATGTTCAAGAGTCAAGGCTAAAGAGATCTCAAGTCGAACTAAAAAAATAGACAATATTTTCAAGTCTTCTAGCAGTAGGCAGCTCTATCCTCACAAGAAAAAGTCTTCAAAGAGCTTATCTCCATCAGAAGCTGATGACTCTGAAGAATACTGGGTAAAGGAACCAGAGGAGGATGAAGAAGAAGATGATGAAGAAGACGAGGAGGAAGAAGAGAAGGAATACTTGATTCAAGAAGCTGCACCTTATGGAAGTTTGAACCCTAGTAAAAGTAGCCTCTACTGGACAAGTGGCCAGAAGGTGTTCTGGAGAGTCCCTAAAAATGTTGTGCCAGTGCATGCTCTTAATTTCCCATTGCAAGAAAAAGTGAAAATGTCGGGAGTGGCTACTAAATTGAAGAAGGAGCGAAAGCAAGATGAGGAACTCTGTGGTGATTTCAACTTCAGCCTGAAGAGGCCTACAGCAAGCCAGCTAGAAATGTTTGAACCCAGACGAAATTTGACACGATATACAGGTAAGTAACAAAGTGAAATAGATGTTGATATGGAGTATAAAAGAAATCTTTAGAGTAATATACACAGTTTTTTTCACATATAGTGTTAAAAAATCAGAGAGCGAAAGAAACAAAAGCTATAAATTTATCATACCTTAAAGAAAAAAAAGATATTTACCGGGTTGTTGTAGTTTTTTTCGGGCTATATGGCCATGGTCTAGAGGCATTCTCTCCTGACGTTTCGCCTGCATCTATGGCAAGCATCCTCAGAGGTAGTGAGGTCACTACCTCTGAGGATGCTTGCCATAGATGCAGGCGAAACGTCAGGAGAGAATGCCTCTAGACCATGGCCATATAGCCCGAAAAAACCTACAACAACCTAGTGATTCCGGCCATGAAAGCCTTCGACAATACAAGATATTTACCGTATATACTTGAGTATAAGCCGACCTGAATATAAGCCAAGGCACCTAATTTTACTACAAAAAAACTGGGAAAACATATTGACTCGAGTATAAGCTAAGAGTGGGAAATGCAGCCACTACAGGTACATTTCAAAATAAAAATAGATACCAATAAAATTGCATTAATTGAGTCATCAGGAGGTGAAATGTTTTTTAATATTTACATAAAACTGTAATTTGAGATAAGACTGCTCAACTCTGATTAAATCATTACATATCTTCAATGTAAATGTACTTATGTATCCTTCCAACAATAATAGAGTAAAATAATAAATATAATAATAAATATAATAAAGTAAAAATAATGGAAATGCAATAATAACAGTAATAATAGAGTAGAATAATACATGTAATAATAGAGTAAAATAATAAATGCAATAATCATAAAGTAAAATAATAAATGTAATAATAATCATAAATAGTGTAAAATAATAAATGTAATAATAATAATAGGGTAAAATACTCTAAATGTAATAATATTAAAGAGAGTAAAATAATACATGAAATAAAAATAATACTAATAACAGAGTAAAATAATAAATAACCTTGACTCGATTATAAGCCGAGGGGAGTTTTTTCAGCCTAAAAAAGGGGCTGAAAAATTAGGCTTATACTCGAGTATATACAGTATAAGTGCTCTTACATGAGGATTATTTTTTGCTGTTAGCCCCTTATCATGCCTAAGTTCACAGTTGATCATAACTCAGCAGTTTCTCCGCATTTTTATTTTTGTCAATTAGTTCCTGTTAATGCAATTTCAAATTAGTGCCACCCTGGAAGTCTTCCCAGAAACTAACTTGAAATAAGTTCATTTTCTGGCTTCTGTTTCCAAATCACATAGCAAATGGCACTGTTTGCAACAGTATTTGTGCAGCTCTGTGGATCACCAGGCTCTTCTGTTAAAATCGTAATTAAGGTGGAAAGGAAAATAATAAATTAGAGGTGTGTGAAGCTTGAAATCGAATGGTCTGAATTATAAGGAATTTGATTTCTCGTGATATACTACATTCAATGAGGGTGCCTGGGTTAACTAATCTTTCTAATAAGTCTGGGTGCAGGGATACATTTGTGTTTAGTGAAGCAGTAATTATATAGTGACTGAGAAAGATTTTATATCTTTATGTCTTGACCAGAAAGATTACAAGAGGAAGAAAGAAGGATCATGGAGGATGATTACTGGATCAAAAGTCTTATAGCTGATGACTACTGGATGAAAAGTGGTGCAAGGCCCAAGTTTGCAAGCCTAATGCACAGTGGTCCCTCAACCACAGCCAAAAGCCGAGAAAAGGGTATGTAATTTTCCACTTAAACTAATGAACAAGAATGGTATATTTAAATAACCATTTACTGCTTTCTTCTGGTGATTATATTTCATTGTGGGTTTGCTTTCCAGGGGAGGGAAAATTCAATGGCAAAAAGATAGTCCAAACCAGTGGTTCCCAACCTGTGGTCCGTAGACCACCAGTGGTCCACAAGAACCAAAATATGGCCCGCATCTCACCATTACTACTACAGATAATAACATAGCCCACACATTTTCTTCCTTTGTGTCTTTGTTTTTAGGCCTGTTCCTGGGATTATTTGGGCTGGTTCAGAAAATGGCATTGGATAGGCCACATCAGCTCTGCTTATTAAATATGGTTTTCTGTGGATGAGCAGATGGCAACTACTGGATGGCATATGTTTTGTATCAGAAACTAGAGCTGATGTGATCTATCCAATGCAGTTTTCTGAATCAGCACCCCAAATAACCAAACCAAATCTAAAGTTGACTAAAAACTGATTTGTAACCTTTTTGGTACTAATGTTGGAGAGTGGTCCATGGTCAAAGTGGCCCAAAAAAAGGTTGAGAACCACTGGTCTAAATGTACGAAGAGACTGAAAAGGGAACTTTGCATGCAAAATAGATTCGACACTAAACGTAAAATGAACAGTTAGCTGCAACCACTTGTGATTCTCTGGCTACTGACATGACTTGCCTTTTTGTGTGACTGATGCCTACACCATTTTGAACCACCTGGTCACAATAACTTTTCAATATTCTGAAAACAAGTTAACTGCAGTGACCCATAGTTGTTATTGTCTGTATTTTTGACTCATGGTAACTCTAAGGTGAACTTATTACAGGGTGCATTATTTTGTCAGACTTTGTTGTACATAAACTTGGTAACAAACTAGTCCATTTTAAAGAATTAAAATGAATTTGGGGAGAAGGGAGAGTCCTAACTTGGCAGTGTGGAGTTGCCTGGTCTGTTCTAATAAAAATTGGTTCTCTTGACTGCAGAAGTACGACCTGTTGCTGCAGACAATTGGCTTGTAGTAGATTCACCAAAGAAGAAAGGGGTGCATAAACCTCCACATAAACGTAGAAATACAAGACATGATGAAGACGTTCAAGAATGGGAGAAGCCAAAAACATCCCATCGCAAGGGTAAGTGTACTAGGCGACTGGAGCAAGCCTCAAATAGTCATGGTACCACTTCATGATTTTAAACTTTAAGTTTCACGTTGTGACTGAATTCAGAGTATTGTGGGCTCTCAGCTGTACACTGAGCAAACTTCAATATATAAGGCCAAGGATGGGCAATTGTCAGAAGGTAAAGAGCTGCATTACATGCCCCACAAACCCAGACACACAGGCAACCTTGCCAAAACAAAATCAATCTTGAATGCCTCCAAATGCCATTTTTTCCAGCTGCAACAAACCACACTACTTTTGGTTTCATTCAGTTACACATAGAGCACGAAGAGGCAGCTGCATACTTACATACGATTTCCTTGTGAGCCTTGCCTGTTGAGCTAATCAGAACTAAAAAAAGCCATTGTGTATCTTTTAGCCAAGCTGGAACTCCATTTTTCTGCTGTGAGCAGGCTTCTGAGAGAGACAGATCATGCTCCGGTCTTCTGGTGATGTAATTTCTCAGTGCTGACTCAATTTTGACTCAAATAGCAATAAATGTTTACTTTCTACACATTTAAGAAACTGTCACTGATGGTAACCTTAAAACGAAGCAAACTTCAAATGTGGGGTAGAAGTATCTTGCCATTTCTAAAGCCACCATAAAATGAGGAGGTAATTTATATCTTTTCTAAAGAATAGCTAATGATCCTTCAGGTGATGTGGCTCCCACTGAAATAAGTATTTTAAAAGGATGTCTTAACTCAGCTTTGTTGAAAGGGTGTTCAGGGGAAATGATGCCAGAAAAGATGGTTTAAGTCTGATGCCTTAAACCCAAGTGTTATTGAAGGATATAAGGAGAAAGGATCTCAGAAAGGGTGGTTTCTTAAGTCTGATGCCTTAACCCAGGTCTAGTTGAAGAATAGGAGGAGAAAGTGAATGGGTATTGTAGTAACTGTTTATTAATTGTGTAATGTGTTAGGTTGTTAACTGTTTCTATACTGTAGCACTGAGTTTTTGCTGTTCGTATTTGTTGTGAACCGCTGTGAGTCGCCTTCGGGCTGAGAACAGCGGTATATAAGTAAGGTAAATAATAAATAAATAAATAAATAAATGATCCCAGCAAAAGTGGTTTCTTAAGATCTGATGCTCTAAAAATGACAAAAAGGGGAGCCTGGGAAATTCTCCCATTGCCGCCAATGGGTTGGATCTTTCCAGAGCAAAAACAGATGTTTCAGCTGCTAAATTAAAAAATGGATTTTTGTCTGCTCCTGGTAGAGGCCTTTTTTTTTTTTTTTTTTTTGCAGCAAGGTTGCATCATATTTGAATAAAGGCTTCAGCAATGAGAAAATGGTCTTGGAAGACCACAAAACATGTCAAAATGTCACCATACTCCTAAAGGCCAGATGGGACAAAAATTGGTCTCTGTGGGAGTTCTGACATTTCCATGAATTGAGATTTGTTTATGTACATTCATACATGCAGTCCTCCTCCTGACCACGCTTGCTCTGAAATGGTATCTTAGGAGGCCTATACCAAGTGTTTTACATTATTTGAATTGCCCTAAGTTGCCATTAGTTTTAGCCTTAATAGACCTTGGTAGCGGCAGAGCTTGAAAAATTTGTATTTTCAATATAAAGTCCAGAACTACCTTTTCCAAGGTCTGGCTAATGTGTAGGGCTGCACAGTGAAAGAGAGATATAACTTTTTATGGCAAAGGTTATGAGCTCTGCAATTTGGCTCTTGGATTTTTAGAATAGGTATTGTAATTGTAATGGCCTTATATATGGACTGTGTTTAGGTTAGATATAGGATGCATCACCAGGCATTATAGTTCCTATAATTCCTATTTTCTATGCTGGCTAGGGTTTACTACAACCCAACCACATCTGAAAAGTTGCAATCGCCAAAATAAATTGATAGTCTGAAAAAGAAGATCAGTTGAATTACAATTGGTTTTACAGAAGTGGCATGTCATCCAGCTGATCTCCTTTGTCTGGTACAAATAGCTGTATTTAGTACAGAGCATAGCTGTGGTCTATGAATTATAGATAAATCATTTAGTAAATTAATGTATATGAAAACATGAGTGGCTAAAAATGAAAAGCCCCGTGAGTGTACTACTAGAGGGATTTAGTAAAAATGAATGCTAACATTCTGTAATATCTTTTTTTGCAGGGCGTGAAACAAGGAGATCTCTTTATAAAAGAAGATAATCAGAATGGTGAAATGTGTATATATTTGCCCATATTGTTCAGATGAGTCATTAGTAATTTTTTTTTTTTGTAATTATATCAGCAGGGTCAAAGTTGCACTTGAAGGATTCCTGAGTGCACATTTAAAAGATGTATAAAAATAAACTGGGCACTAAAAGAAAGGCATGGGAATGTAAATAAAACAATATTTAAGAAGAAAAATAAAGGTGAAATTGCACTAACAATGTTTGGTGAATAGTTTCTTGCTAATACATAGGTAGTCTAAGTAACATACCATATTTGTATTTGGAGTTGAGTGAAGCTAGACTAACAACTGGAAATGCAATCCTCATGGTCATTAGCTGGAGAGAAAAAAACCAATATATTTGGAAGAAGATTACCTGAGTATTTTTAGTAAAAAAAACTATATGGATATCTGTCTTAACTGTAAGGCAAATTCGAAACGCCACCTTATGCCAATACTGCTTTCATGCTTCCCAAAAAGGCACAAAAACATGTCCTCCTGGATCATGTATCATTACACTACTCATTGTTTTTCATAAAATAAAGGGCATGTTTAGCCTGGAGAAGGCTGAAAGGAGACAAGATAGCCATGTATAAATATGTGAGAGGAAGCCACAGGGAGGAGGGAGCAAGCTTGTTTTCTGCTTCCCTGGAGACTAGGACGCAGAACAATGGCTTCAAACTACAAGAAAGGAGATTCCATTTGAACATTAGGAAGAACTTCCTGACTGTGAGAGCCGTTCAGCAGTGGAACTCTCTGCCCTAGAGTGCGGTGAAGGCTCCTTCTTTGGAGGCTTTTAAACAGAGGCTGGATGGCCATCTGTCAGGGGTGCTTTGAATGCAATATTCCTACTTCTTGGCAGGGGGTTGGACTGGATGGCCCATGAGGTCTCTTCCAACTCTGATTCTATGATTATTACACTGTTTTTAATATATTCTTATAGTGGATCTCCAGCCTTTGGGGGCTCTGAGCAGCAGATATAGGTGTACATGATTATCACTTCTCATATCTTACCTGCACCTTTAATAGCTGAAAATGTTTGAAGCCTATCAGTCAGAAATCTCCAGTGCTAGTGCAAGTCCAGTCACAAACTTTTAGCACACTCTGGTACCATAAGGTGCGTTACTGATATGTTATATTTATATGGAATATTGTTCTATATCATAGCAATCTCTCTTTAGGAGGGACTTCCATAGTTATGATTTCATCATATGGAGTCCAGAGGTATCATTACATTTTATGTAGAATTTTCTAGCACATCATTATGCTTGCTTCCCTGCTCTGGTCTGCTTTCCAGTTCCAAAATTTGCCTCCTTGGGCCAGATAAGGTGGCCAAAAAGAACACCAGTATCCCCAAGTGCTTCTTTTCTGCTCTACCCTATTCCTTATGCAATTTAGAAAAAATATTATATATACACACACACACACATACACACTTACTTGCTCCTTCCTATTGCTTTCCCTCCTCTCCTGACATGTAATTCAGCAGCGTAGATGCATCCTGAGTGATCCTATTTTTTTATTTACGACATTTATATGCCGCCCTTCTCACCCCGAAGGGGACTCAGAGCGGCTTACAAGGTATATATTACATACATTATATTATTAGCATAGTACAATATCAGCATTAAACATTGCTATATTGCACCATACCACTATATCATAATATTATTAGTAATATAAATATATAATTATATTATTATTACATTGCATTACATTATAATATTATAAATATTATATGTATATACATTATATTATATTATTAGAATAGCACAAGAGACAAGATGGAACTGTCCCCTGGCCTCCCCTCTCTTCACTCTGGCCCAGACCAACAGTTGGTGCTGGGGAGGGGTCTCCATCTGATGGCATATATAGGAGACAAGATGGAACTGTCCTCTGGCCTCCCCTCTCTTCACTCTTGGCTGCAACAACTTCACAGGTCAGTTGATAGGATCAAGTGCCAGAACTTGCCCAAATAAGCCACTGTGCTAGGAGCAAATGTGACAGGACAGGCGGATGTATTTTCTCTTCAAATCGATCTCTTCTGACTAGTACCTGTATACTATACCATATTATTCTAGTTTAAAAGAGCATAGAACTTTATGAGTAATGGACACCTATTACTTTTGTTTTCAACTCTTGGTGCAGTTTTGTCCCCAGGTTGATTGCTAACGTGGCATTCATGACAGATGTAACTGTGAAAGGCAAAGGCATGCTATTGTTTTCTTGTAATCGGTCTTTCCATTATATCTGGCCATTGACTATAGGGTTTATAGAAAGTATGGGCCATAACTTAGGATTGCATGAACCAGGGATTCCCCCCCCCCCCCCCCCGCCTGGGATCATTTTACTGAATAAAAAGTAAAGAAATTAGCAGCTGTGGTATTGGTGAATTTCCCTAGGTCTTCCCAGATTTGTGCTCTGCAATTTGTATAGCTATCAAATATAATCACAGAAGCGCTTTATTATTGTAATGGGCAAAGTAGCTGCACCACTATTACCATTTCAATATTAGGTCTCAGTAATGTTGGCATTCTTGAAGTGACTGGATTGACCTTGAAGGAGCTTGGGGTGGTGACCGGGAGCTCTGGCATGGGCTGGTCCCTGAGGTCACGAAGAGTCAGAAACGACTGAACAAATGAACAACAAAATGTTTGGACCCACTTAAAACTACTTCCCAACCCTTTGTCACTACCACAAAGTGGCATACTTTACTCATATTATAGACTTCTTTGCTTGCTTTTTCAACTATGTTTGTAGCAGTCAATAATAAACAAGACAATACAATTTTTAAGATTCCAAGACTGGTTTTAATGTTTGGGGGTTAAATTCTATAGGGAATCAACATAACCATTTAATGCTCTCATTAATTAAGAAAACAAGATTCACAGTATATAGCAATGCTGAAATCACAGCCTAGGTTTACATCTTGGCTACCTTTTCAGCTAATACTTCAATTTCAGGGGAGAACATTGTATGTAGATGTATACTGGTCAGCCTTTAAAAAGGCTTTTAATGATTTCACAGCAAGTATACATGAAATTTTCAAAAGTTACCATAAACAGTCTATCAGGAACTCATTTGACATGGAGGGTTTAAAGGTCTGTGCAACTTGTGATCCAACAAGCTGCACACAGAGTGACGCTTCTGCAGGGTTGCTTAGAAAAAGCCCTTTTGCACTATGTTTGGTAACTCTTCCAATGCTGCTTGACTGTGTCTTCCATCATCACTCAGCATTGGCTTGGAATCAGAGAACCTAAAGATGGTAGTGCACACACTGACAACAAGAAGATTGGACCTTACATGTGTTTTACATTGGCCTACTGCTGTACTAAGTTCAGAAACTCCCAATTAGTTCAAAACTTCGCAGCCAGATTGGTTACAGGAACATCTAGGGTCACGTTAATCACCAACAGCAATAATCACACCAATCGAAAGATTGGCAGTTCAAAATCCGGGTCTAGGTTAGCCCCTGACCTTCAGCCCAGCTTACTATCCACCTAAGCAGTTCTGAAACAGCTGTGAGCAGAAAAATTAGGCACCGCTTAAGCAGGGAGGTATTTTACAGCATCATAAAAAGGAAATACTAGAAAATACCAGCAAGGAGGAAGTCTGTGATCAAGGTCTCTTGTCATAGAGGATGGAGTGACAGCACCCCCCTGTGGCTGGAATTCAGCACAACCTCCAGGATGCCGAAGTTGGGGAAAATGCCGACATATACTTCTATCTGTTATCTGTCCTGTTTGTCGTGTATGTGTTCTGTGATCCACCCTGAGTCCCCTTTGGGGTGAGAAGGGCAGAATATAAATGCTGTAAATAAATAAATCTAGGAGTGAACATATAATCCCTATACTAAGGTCTGGCAATTAGTCTCCAGGCAAAGTACAGTGTTGTTGTTTTTTAACATTAAAGCCCTACATAGTTTGGGTCAAGATTACCTACATGATTGCCTTCACCCATATAAGCCACCCCATCAGAGTTAAGTTCCTGGTGGACATTTACTCCAACCAGCCAGAACCAGAAGGGCGACCATCATCTGGAGAATGTTATCATCGGCCGTCCCACGACTATGGATTGATCAGCCAGAAGAGATCTGAAATGAACTGTTGGAATTTAAAACATAACTAAAGACCTATCTCTTACATCAGGCCTGCCAGTCAATTTCAACTATTAATTTTAAACTTATGTTTTGTGTTTTGTCTTCTGTGTATTTTAATATATATATTACACAGAAATGTGTTTCTTTTGTGTGTTTTATGATTTATATGTTTTTAGCTATGTTGGCATGCTGCCTCGAGCCACAAGGAGAGGCAGGTAGGAAATTAAATTATCATTAGCATTAGTATTATTGGTGGGAGCTGAAGCCCAACAAGTGGAAGACTAGATGTTCTCTATCTCAGGCTTGGCTGCCCAAGCAGCACAACCTGACATTGTTAAAGAAAGTGCAACTCTTGTCTATATAAAATTCAAAGTGTGTTCTTAAACTGTAGCAGAGAAACCAAGATCTATGACTGGTATTGTGTTTAATCACACCATTCTGTTTTTTAAAAGTTCTTTCTAAAGCTAACATTCAGCTGAAGGCAGTCAGTCCACACTAAATCACTTTATAGGTCTTGATACTTCATGCCTTTCTAGCCTACTCATCATCCAATCAATCTTGTGCAATTTGGGGTGGCAGGGCACACACACCAAAGCCACTTTCTCTGAGTAGCAGCTCTTTTACCAAGCAGCCACACTTAAAAAAACACCCCTCTCAAAGATGCAAAAAAAAAAAAAATCAACATGGAGGCACAGCGCGAGGACTTGGGGTACTTCAGAAATGACATAAAGATGTAAATAATATGTCTGTGGTTGTGCCCTGAAACTTTCCAAAGCCCTTTGCAGAGGATCGTTCTTTGGATGCTTTACTGCACAGCATACATTCACTACAGAGGCAGTCTCTCCTCAAACTGATTTGTCCGATTTGGATTTGTGCTTTCTTTTCTTCTTCTTTTTTTTCTTCTCTTTCTTTTTCTCCTTCTTTCTTTTTTTCTTTGCCTTTTCATGGCACCCGGAAGAAGTGGAACTGTCGCTGCTGCTGTCCGAAGTAGAGTCCTCCAGCAGCTGCTTCAACTGCTGTATTCTAAATGCATGAAATGGCCAGAGAAAGGTTATTTTTCCCCATTTTTTTTCCTTGGGTGAATACACTACTTGCAACATATTTACTTAGGTATCAGTTGTACATCAGAAATAAACAATTTACAAAGTAAATGGGTCAGAGAAATCACTCTTGAATTGGCACTCAATTTTAGATTCATTATCATTACCTACTGAAATACTTTGTCAAACTTATTGTCACAAGATCTTCCAGCCTCATCCTCACCAATCTGGAAATAACACTATTTACAATTCTTTAGTACAGAATTGGGGGCAATAAATTGTGAGGGTACAAAGCAGAGGGTCTTCTCTGCTGTGGTACCTGAAATATCCTCCCAATTGTTACTAATACGGCTCCAGCCCAGCTTACTTATCCGAACTTATCTCTCTCTACGTTCCACCTCGTAATTTAGGATCTATTGGGGAGGCCCTGCTTTCGGTCCCACCGGCGTCACAAATGCGTCTGGTGGGGACGAGGAACAGGGCCTTCTCAGTGGTGGCCCCTCACTTGTGGAATTCGCTCCCCAATGAGATTAGATCGGCGTCCTCCCTCCTCACTTTTAAATAAAACTAAAGTCGTGGTTTTGGAGTCAGACTTTCAGCTAGTGGACTTAGCAGCACTTAGACCAGGGGTCCTCAAACTAAGGCCCGGGGGCCGAATACGGCCCCCCAAGGTCATTTACCCAGCTCTCTCTCAGGGTCAACCTAAGTCTGAAACGACTTGAAAGCACACAACAACAACAATCCTATCTCATCAGCCAAAAGCAGGCCTACACTTCCCATTGAAATACTAATAACTTTATATTTGTTAAAATTGTTCTTCATTTTAATTATTGTATTGTTTTTAAGTGGGTTTTGCACTACAAATAAGATATATGCAGTGTGCATGGGAATTCATTCATGCTTTTTTCAAATTATAATCCGGCCCTCCAACAGTTTGAGGGACTGTGACCTGGCCCTCTGTTTAAAAAGTTTGTGGATCCCTGACTTAGACACTGAACTGGACCAAAGGATTATGACAATAGGAAACTGATATGTGATTTTGATTAGGCGACTATGTTAGTATATGGGTATGTGATTTTAATTAATGTTATTGTTAATTTTTTATGTATTTGATTTTATGTTGTTGTATTGATATTATGGCATTGAATTGTTGCCCATGTAAGCCGCCCTGAGTCCCCCCCTTGGGGGTGAGAAGGGCGGGGGAGAAGCGATGTAAATAATAAATAAATAAATAAATAAATAAATAAATAATACGGGTGTCATTCAATGTCATGTTAAAGCCTCTGAGGCCTAATTGATTCACGCATGTGTTATGCAACATTGTGTGACCAGAATCGAGCACAACCTCCAGGACGCCGAAGCCAACATAATACCTCTATCTGTTGTCTGTCTGTTTAACGACATTGAATGTTTGCTGTGTATGTGTTCTGCCCTCAGTCCCTTTTGGTTGGAATGTAAATGCTATAAATAAACAAACAAACATGATTTCATGTTGTTTTAACTTAAGTTATCTTGCTTTTAAATGATAATCTTTTAATGTTTTCACTGATGTTATTTTATGCCTTCCTAAGGTCATCAGACATAGAGTGCAGCAGAAAGTTAGTGATATATTGAAGTCAGGGAGTAGATACTATAAAATTTGGAGTAACAAGTAATATACTAATTCCCCCTTTACTCTGAATGCAGCTGAAATCCTAATAGCTGCTGATGGGATGGAAATCATTTTCCCCAGCAACCATAATAATAATAATAATAATAATAATAATAATAATAATAATAATAATACTTTATTTATTCCCCGCTACCATCTCCCCAAGGGACTCGGTGCGGCTTACATAATAATAATAATAATAATAATAATAATAATAATAATAATAATACTTTATTTATATACCGCTCTATCTCCCCGAGGGGACTCAGAGTGGTTCCCAGGTAAAAATCACAGAACATACAAAGTAAAAACAACATAACCATAAGATGAACAAAACAAAATATGCATAAAATTGTYGCCATAACACACATATATTAAAAGTAATCCTGCCTGTTCAAAGCAATTAAAAAAAATTAAAAGGCCGGGCCAAGATTTGTGCAAGCCCAAAAATTCTAGGGGGCCTGGGAATTAAATGCAATGCAATGGCAGGCAACAATAATATTAGGTACGGGTCTGTGGCTGTTCATTCCAGGGCCGACTAGAGGAAATGATCTGGGTAATTGGTAGGAAGAATAAGGCCGTATTTGACAATGTATAGGGCTGAGTTAGAACTGGTCATTTTCAAAGGCTTGTTGAAACCACCAGGTCTTCAAGCTCTTATGAAAAGAGGGGAGCTTGAAGACCTGGTGGTTTCAACAAGCCCTTTGAAAATGGCCAGTTCTAACTCAGCCCTATACATGAGGCCAAGCCAACAGTACATCAATAAACAAAGGCAATAACGAAACAATCAATACAAAACAGTTAATATAAATCTCATAAACAAAAAATAAACGATAAACAATAACAATAACAAACAAGCATTTAAAAATCTATGGCCAGGCCAAATGCAATAATTTAAAATTTAAAAAATAATGCTGGACGTGAACAAGGTAGGATATAACTGGGATAGAGTTTTCAAGGAGAGATGAGGGTGCGCAGGCAATCCTAAATCAGTGGTAGAGTGCATTTTGAGGGCGTATTGCTGAGAGTTTTCCTTATTCTGGGAAGGCACACTGGAACAACCATGTTTTCAGGTTCCTCCTAAAGACTGCCAGCGTTGGGGCATGTCTGATGTCCTTGGAAAGTGAGTTCCAAAGTTGGGGGGTCACCACCGAGAAGGCCTTCTCCCTCGTTCCCACCAATCGCGCCTGAGAAGGAGGTGGGAGCATGAGCAGGGCCTCTCCAGATGATCGAAGAGGTCGCGTGGGTTCGTACACAGAAATGCGGTCACGCAGGTAGGCGGGTCCCAAACCGTTCAGGGCTTTGTAGGTAAGGACCTGCACCTTGAATTTGGACCGGAAAATGAACAGCAGCCAGTGGAGCTCCTTAAACAGGAGGGTTGACTGCCCTTTGTAAGAAGCACCAGTTAGTAACCTGGCTGCCGCCCGTTGTACCAATTGAAATTTCTGGGCCGTTTTCAAGGGCAGCCCCACATAGAGTGCATTACAGCAATCCAATCTATCCCTGGTTTAATTTAGAATATTTTGGCATGGCCTGGTCTTGAATGAGCATTAGATTGGTTTTATTGATTGTGATATATAACTTGATTGTTTTAATTGTTTTATAATTGCTATTGATACATATTTTATCGTATTGTTGTTGTTGGCATCGAATGGTGCCTTTTGTAAGCCGCCCTGAGTCCCCCCCTCGGGGGTTGAGAAGGGCGGGGTAGAAATGTGCGAAATAAATAAATAATAAATAATAAATGAGCCGCTAAGCTCTATTAGATATAAAGAAGAGTTACTCATTATACAAAAGAAAAGTGTAAAGATATGTTATGTTGTCATGGAACATCAGCTATCAGCATTTTGGCGTCTCCTCTGGGAAACAGTTAGAGGCAGGCCTGTTATGATTTCTCCCTGCACTTCAAATTTGAGCACTTCATCGCTGCTTATCTTACAGATACAAAATAAAAGTAATTCCACATTTGAAGTTATTGTAACATTCTAAAATGTGTATTATTGGTTGTCGTTATTATTAAAGAGTTTTAAAAGTGTAAAGACAAGCAGACTTACCGCATTTCTTTCTCATGGCGCTTATTTTCTCTTATTATATCATACATGGGGTCTTCATGGGCCTGGTGGGGGAAGGAAAATGAGCTCGGTTTCCAATACAGTTATAGCAACTTTTCAGGATTATGCGAGAAATAACCCATGTTTAAGATGACCCTTGTGATTTGGCTTTAATATGGAATTGCCCCGTCTAAGTAGTAACTATCTCTGTCCTATAATCATATACTCACTGTCCTTTCATGCAGGCAAGAGGGGGGAATGGTGGCATTTATTATGACGGGCGTTAATCCTTTCCATCCTTCCTGCCTATCAGTATTTGTGTTGGAAATAGCAACCTTCTCAAGCTTCCACTAGTTATTTGTTATGTATATAATTGCTTACTGTATTGTACATGTGTATTGGTTTAAATTTTACCTAAGTTGTTGTGGGAGGGGCTGCAAACCATGTCATCAGAACGAGATGTGCTCAGAACTCCCACATTAAAGCCATTAAACTCTTATCGAAAGTATAAGCCATCTGTTATGCTTCAGATTTCAGTAGGAACAGAAGTATGCTTTAGACTTCAATGCAGGAACAGTATGTTTAGAAACTTATTAGAATCTCAGAACAGATAGATGCTCTGGATTATGGATTACTGATTCTAAGGAAGATGCCCTCTGTTACCTACAGAAACGACTTAAAATTCTATTGTAAATAGATTCATAAGAAAAGTGCCCATATGCTGTATACATGAAGTTTTGTGAGTAAACCAACTCTTACTTTTAAACAAGACTGTTTATTTTGTCTCTTGAGAGCATGATTAAAAGGCAAAGATATTTTAAGGGAGAGTAGACGTTTTTTGGGAGGCCGTGACAGACTTTGTATTTCTAGGTGCAAAGATTACTGCAGATGCAGACTGTGGCCAGGAAATCAGAAGACGCTTACTTCTTGGGAGGAGAGCAATGTCCAGTCTCGATAAAATAGTAAAGAGTAGAGACATCAGACTGGCAACAAAGATCCGCCTAGTCAAAGCCATGGTATTCCCTGTAGTAACCTACGGATGTGAGAGCTGGACCTTAGGGAAGGGTGAGCGAAGGAAGATCGATGCTTTTGAGCTGTGGTGTTGGAGGAAAGTGCTGAGAGTGCCTTGGACTGCGAGAAGATCCAACCAGTCCATCCTCCAGGAAATAAAGCCCGACTGCTCACTGGAGGGAAAGATACTAGAGACAAAGTTGAAGTACTTTGGCCACATCATGAGGAGACAGCAAAGCCTAGAGAAGACAATTATGCTGGGGAAAGTGGAAGGCAAAAGGAAGAGGGGCCGACCAAGGGCAAGATGGATGGATGGCATCCTTGAAGTGACTGGACTGACGTTGAAGGAGCTGGGGGTGGTGACGGCCGACAGGGAGCTCTGGCGTGGGCTGGTCCATGAGGTCACGAAGAGTCGGAGACGACTGAACGAATGAACAACAAACGGGAGTTGTAGTTTTGCAAGCTTTTGAGGTGTGTGCGCGCGCATTGGCATGTCTTTGTCCCCGGCAGTTCAAAGACACACCTAGGTACATCAGTTTAACAGCTGAGAGACCTTGTTGCCTTGCATGAATGCTGGTGAATGTCATTTTTCCAAAAAGGTTGTGACTTCTAACAAGGTCATGTCTTTCCTGTGACCAGTGGTTTTCCAAAAGGGTTATGAATTCCATTTCCCAAATGGTTATGGAGGTTCACATTTTCCAAAAATTTGAAACTACAGGATTTTTGCAACATACTACATCATTTTTGGCATCAAGGCCTGTTTTTGATTTATGTTTGAATATATAAGGTAGTCATGCTCTCATATTGTTAAAAAATACCTCAGACATGCCCACTTGGAAGACTTTTCATAATAATTATCATTCAATACTGATGCCACAATATTTTACTTACAACTCGAAATTGTTCTAATTTCTGGTTGCCTTTAATGAAGAATGGACATTCTTTATCCCCCGTTCGGTGTCCATAACGTTTACATCTCCAGCCTTGAGAAGAAAATAACAAGCCTTCTTTAAGAAATGTCAAAACATTGTGCAACAGAAAAGAAGAAGAAAATCTTCAGGAATCTTTTGTAAAAGAGAAAAAAAAATCTCAGTTCTTCAGAATTACTTAACTTTAATGAAAACCAGGAAATTAGTTTAGTGAAAAGCTCCTTAACTTTCCCCTTTACTACATGTTGTGTAATAATACCATTCTCATGTGTATTTTACTCATCATTAAGTCACACTGAGTAGAAGGAATATGTTTCCAGATCACTGTATAAAAGGATTGAAGGCTCTTATCCTTTGCTGAATGTAGCATTTATTGAATTTTCTTAGTGGGTCTGTAGATTGTTTGAAAATTGGGTTTCTGATGAAGGGAAACTGATGAAGAAATACAACCTCTAAATTGTCTACAGACCACCAAGAAAATTCAACAAATGCTAGATTCAGCAAAGTATAAGAGGGATCCTCTAACCATTGAAGGAATCTACAGTATACCATGAAGCTGTGGACAAGTCTACATAGGGACCACCAAATGCAGCACTGCCCAGAAACGAATAAATGAACATGAAAAGCACTGCAGACTAACTCAAGTCAGCTATAGCAGAGCACTTGATGAACCAACCTAGACACAGAATATTATTTGAGAACACTGAAATGCTGGACCACTCTAACACCCAACAGACAAGAGTTCTTTCTCCCACCCTGGACATTCCACAGATATATAAACCTCACTTGCCTAGTTTCCAACACACCTCACAACCTCTGAGGATGCCTGCCAGAGATATGGGCGAATAATAGGTTTGATAATTTCAACAGAAAGGAGGAAATCATAAAAGTGAACAAAATCTGCTACCAGTATTAAAAAAAAAACTCTAAAATCAGGACATAAAGTAAAAAACAACACTCGAAAACAGGGGAATTCCAGAAAAGAAACAGTCAGGGCCAGCTAGCACCTCCAACAAAGGATCCCCAGGCAGCAACCAGCCAGGCTTTGAAACTGCAAGGCTCTTAATGCTAATCAAGGTCATCAATTGCAACATTCACACTTGCCTCCAATAGACAAGAGTTCTTTCTCCCATCCTGGACATTCCACCGATATATAAGCCCCATTTGCCTAGTTTCCAACAGACCTCACAATCTCTGAGGATGCCTGCCATAGATGTGGGTGAATCGTCAGGAGAGAATGCTACTGGAACATGGCTATAGAGCCTGGAAAACTCACAGCAACCCACTAATCAAGATGGCTAATTGCAATATTCTCATTTGCTACACACAAGAGTGCTTTCTCCCACTCCTTGCCTCTTTTCCAAGAGACATCTGAACAAACCTCTGAGGATGCCTGACACAGATGCAGCCAAAACGTCAGGAGATAATGCTACTGAAACATAGCCATACAGCCCAAAAACTCACAGCCACCCAGTTCTTCCTAATGTTCAGGTGGAATCTCATTTCCTGTCATTTTAACCCATTGCTCTGAGTCCTAGTTTCCAGAGAAGCAAAAACAAAAAACCCAAAAAAACCTGCTCCCACTTCCTCATGTTATCTACATATTTAAACATGGTTATAATGTCTCCTCTCAACACTAAAGACAACACAGGGCTTTCTTGGCAAGATGCCTTAGTGGACAACAAGTGGAACATGAGCCAACAGTGTGATGCAGCATCTTAAAAAGCCAAAGGGATTTTGAGTTGCATCAAAAGGAGTAGTGTCTAGATTGGACATGGGCAAATTTCAGCCCTCCAGGTGTTTTTGGACTTCCAAAGCTTGCCCATGTCTGTTCTAGATCAAGAGAAGTCTCCAGACTCGTAATCCAATACTTCCAAGTCATTACACTACACTGTTTTTTATTGGTAGCTCCGGTCTGACAATGGTGACTTCAATGTCTCTATTAGTGACACTCCTTAAAATACTTCAACTAAAATTATTTGTTACTCTATTTTATTTACAAATATCACCTCTAGCAAGAAGTTTACATGCCAGGAGGAAATGTCCGCTTAATAGAATCATATCACAAAAAGTGAAAATGAAAATGGAAATTGAACTAAGGTAAGATGACCTTCAGTCATGTAGTAAACACTATTATGAACTAAGTGGAGAAAAAGGTTTTCACCATCCGTCTATGCCATCAGCCATAAGGACGTCTCATCTCTTTTTCGGAGGCATTCCATGTTGCTCCTGCATGGCTTTCCCTTTTGTGAAAGTATTTCACACAATTTCCAAATTTCATACTCTTATGCAGGGGTCCTCAAACTTTTTAAACAGAGGGCCAGGTCACAGTCCCTCAAACTGTTGGAGAGCCGGATTATAATTTGGAAAAAAAATGAATGGTTTCCTATGCACAGTACACATATCTTATTTGTAGTGCAAAAAAAAACACTTAAAAACAACACAATAATTAAAATAGAGAACAATTTTAACAAATATAAACTTATTCGTTTTTCAGTGGGAAGTGCGGACCTGCTTTTGGCTGATGAGATAGGATTGTTGTTGTTGTTTTGTGATTTCAAGTAGTTTCAGACTTAGGTTGACCCTGAGTGAGGGCCAGGTAAATGACTTTGGAGGGCTGTACCTGGTCCTCGGGCCTTAGTTTGAGCACACCTGCTCTTATGGATCAACTTTTAGGAATGGAATAACACAAAAAGGCCTACAGAATCTAGACATTCCTCTCACTCACATTGCATCACTTTGACCTCTTTCCCAAGTGGCATCCAGAGCCCTTTGGTGGGAGCATGTGCTAGGAATTCCCGGGCGTTTTCATTGCCAGGAACATCAGGAATGCAGTCCTCTGGTTTAGTCTCATCTTCCTGCACGAGAGAGAGGAATCCAAGAAAAGCTTTGAGGAAAAACCACAAAGTGGCAGGCAAAACATCTCTATTTGGGAGAAACATGTTGGGCATGTTGGAATTTAACCTCACACTGTCCAAGTCTGTCCAATTTGACCTCAGGACCCCGACTAACCCAAGGAGTGACCATCACTCCAAAAAAATGATTTTGTCATTTGGGAGTTGTAGTTGCTGGGATTTGTAATTAACCTACAATCAAAGAGCATTCTGAACTCCACTAATGATGGAATTGAACCAAACGTGGCACACTGGATTCCCACGACCAACAGAAAACACTAGAAGGGGTTGGTGGGCATTGACCTTGAGTTTGGGAGTTGTAGTTCACCTACATCCAAAGAGCCCTGCAGATTCAAACAAAGATGGATCTGGACCAAACTTGGCATGTATACTCAGTATGCCCAAATGTGAACACTGGTGGAGTTTGGAGGAAATATACCTTGACATTTGGGAATTATTGGGATTTATAGTTCACCTACAATCAAAGAGCATTCTGAACCCCAACAACAGAATTGGGGCAAACTTCCCACACAGAACCCCCATGACCAACAGAAAATACTTAAAGCCACCCAGTCCAACTCCCTTCACTAGACAAGAAAATGTAATCAAAGCCCTCTTGACAAAGAGCCATCCAGGCATAGATATAGATAGATATATATGATTCACACAGAGAGATATAGTATCATAGATTTGAAAAGGACTCCTAAAGAAGAACAATTATATGCTGCATGTTCCAGAGTAGGCAAACTTGACAATCTCCACATCAACACTGACAAAGAAACAGCAATAAATACTGTTTACCCACAAGCATAAAGAAATTACATATATTAGAAACCAACACTTTCTCGTTACTTTATTTTCCAGATCACCAGACTGGGACATGGCAACGCATGGCAGGGAACTGCTAGTTGTAAATAAACCTTTTATTATTTTAAAGATTGGACTCTGCATGTTTGCCTCCTAAGCTCTGAATTCTTTACAGCCATGGCCAACAGCATATCACGCTTTGTTTACTCTGAGCTAATGCTCAACTTTAAGTATCCTGTTTGATTTTTGGGTGCTCTGCTGTATATTTTAAGGTAGTTTTCCCTAACAGGGCACACTTTACTTCCAATTCAGACCTATATTGTATATTATACAATTAATGCAATTTGACATCACATTAACTGACATGGCTCAATGCTATGGAATCATGGGAGTTGTAGTTTGGAAATATACGAACCGTATTTGGCAGAGAAGGCTAAAAACCTTGTAAAACTCCAGCTCCTAGGATTCAATACAATTGAGCCATGATAGTTAAATCACTATCAAACTGTATTAATTCTACAGTGAAGTATATAGACATAATATACAGAAATAAACTCACTGCAAGGGACTGGCGACGCCAAAGGGACATTGAAGGGATGTAAGGTTGAAAAAGATAATGTTGAATATGACCTACCTTAATGAACCCCGGAGGAAGTTTCTCGTAGCTGAAAAACAGATTGAAAACATAACTTCAGTAACTTGAGTAAAAGACTACATGGCTAGATGACAAAACTAAAACAGAAGCAAGAAATCCAACACTAAGACTGAAGAAGAGCTGCTTAAGAACGAGTTGCACAGATTCAGTAAACTCACTTTGGCTGGCACAAGAAAGTTTTAGAGTTGGAAAGGGTGAGGCGCCAGGACTTTGGGATTAATGGGAGAAATTGCATGTTGCCTGTCATAGTCTTCAGACTTCCTTTTTCTTTCCTGTCATTCTGACAACAGTTGGAAGAAGAGGTGGATTTTTTCCCCTCCGCATTGATATATTTCTGTATGCTCAATGACAGAATAATCTGTGGATATGGTTACTACTAGTACACAGTTACTTTTAACTTAAATCTGTAATCTAAAGATAATTTACTCTATTTCCTTTGTTGTTTTAGCTATCAGAGTTTAATGTACTAATTTGTATTTATGGTTTCGGTTTTATGACTATGGTGACGCAATGGATTAAACCCTTGTGCTGCTGAACTGCTGACCTGAAGGCTGGCAGTTCGAATCCATGGGACGGGGTGAGCTCCCGCTGTTAGTCCTAGCTCCTGCCAACCTAGAAGTTCGAAAACATGCAAATGTGCGTAGGTCAATAGGTATTGCTTTGGTGGGAAAAGGCAAAAGATGCTCCAAGCTGTCATCCCAGCCACATGACCAGGAGGTAACAACGGATGCAAGCTCCTTGGCTTGGCAATGAAAATGAGTACCTCACCCAGAGCTGGAGATGGGTATCGTCTCCAGAGCCGGAAATGAAAGGAGAAGCCTTTGCCTTTGTCTATGTATTTGAGTCTCATTGTATGTCATTGTAATCTAGGCTTTGAATGATTGCCTGTATCTGTTTATATATTGTAATCTGCTCTGAGTCCTCTCGGGCAGAATATAAATTAAGTGTTGTTGTTATTACTATTATTAGTAGTAGTAGTAGTAATTTAGTGTTTTAGTATAATAATAGTTAATATTTTAGCATTTAGTATAATATTTTTATTTATTATCTGCCTCTCCTTATAACTCGAGGCAGGCACATATCATCGTAATAAAATGCATACAATAAATGCATATTTGTATAAAATACACGTTAAAACACATATTGTATTTCTATTTTTAAAATACAATAGTGTTTATATATTGTAGAAGAAAATAATGTATTTCTGATTTTTTATGAGAGTGGAAGACTTCCTTTGTTGCTTTAGTTAGCCAGGATTTAGTATACTAATTTGTATTTAATTTAATAATAATAAAGTTAGTGTTGAGTATAATAATAATTTTACTACTGGGTATAATAATAATTTTAGTATTGAGTATAACAATAATAACTGAAGTATTTT